GATTTATGTCCAAGTTCAACCTCAAAAGTAATCTTGGACCATATTTTTTGCTGGGTTTTTATACTACTATTACAATGCTTACATTTTGTTTTAAGACTGATTTGAACCCAACATGTAGGGTTTGTTTTGTGAAACAATGTTTCATGCATTAGACATAGTGGAGTTCAACAAAAAGGTGGATTTCACTTTAAGCTTTTAACCTCAAGATGGTGCTTTATAATATTAATATACTATATTATCATAGTATTACTCTATTGATATTGGCATTCTTTGTGGCAATATCAGAAGCTAAAAGTATCGGACTTCAGAGATACCCAACTCTGACGTAATGGAAGCACTCATGGTGTTACCTTTATTGGTGGCGAATACATTCTTTCACAGAGGGAATCCTAATATGGTGATTCATATTTTTAAAAAAGAATGATATTTTCTAATGTTCTGAGTCATGCTCTATTTAAGAGACCCACTTTGGTGTTATAATGAAGCATTGATAATAGGAAATTAAAAAAAATTAGATAACTGGTATCAGGACTTTATTAGGCTTTTCACTAGATACGAAGAAACTTTTTTTTAACATCAAGAACACAATCTCGTCAAAAAAATTTCACATTTGCTAAACAGAACTGTAGGCATGTGTTTTCTTTACACCACATTTATTAAAGTATCAATGACCAGATCCTAAAAAGAGAAGGCACAGATCTCTCTCCCTCTGGTGAATTCCTGGTGTCTAAAAAAAGAAATGTCACCAGCTCTGCAAATTCCCATCCTTTAGACATGAAGCAAATCAACACCAGTGTGAGAAAGCAGGGGCCGTGAGATGGAAATGTTCCATTAAGGGATCTGGATTTTCTTATCCCTTACACAAATTTCAAGAGAGGAGGTAGCTACCAAAATGTTCTGAAACTCCATCCACATTCAGACTCTGCCAAGGATTCACTGTTGGACACAACAATATTTGGAAATTCTATTTTAGGAGTTCCAACATGGTCCTGCTCTCTGCAAACTGTTCTAGAAACTGGCCTTAGATCTCACTTTTCCTCCTTTTGGGACGTCTTGGGTTTCCAATTCCTCAGAAAAGGTGCAGGTTGTTACCATTTGCTTTGGCAAGTCTCTTTGTCAGGTGCTAGCTCATTGTCAGGAGCTGTATCCTCTCTCCCACCTGCTGCCCAACTTCCACCCAGTCTCCTGAGTAGACATGAACAGAGCTGTGCTTATGGCTCAGGCTCTTCCTCCGGCAGTCGAGAGAGTTCCTTTCTATGCCAAGTTTTCTACAATTCCATAAATGACCAGTTCTAATCTGGTTAAAAATAATTTGTGGTAAGTTGTTCATGATAGGAGTGATGGATTAATCTGTTACCTCTCTGAAAGAAAACGAATAAAAATTTAAAAGCGGTCCTGGTACTGAGTTAGAAGGTGCTATCACTTACCAGGGGCGTGTTTCTGACTCTTCCAGTTACTGGGGAATGTTGCTTACGGGATTAATGGGGGGAAGGAGACTCTGGATCTCACAATAGGCCAGTGAATGGCCATTAATTTTGTGAAGGTTCTTGCCTAATTTTTCCACCTACATTTGAGTTAGTCCTTCACAATGTATTTGTGGGACTTGGCATGGGCCCATATTTTCCTTCCTGAAGGGTATCAGGACTACTGATTTTCATGAAGTATCTTACCACAGGAGTAAGGAAGGAGGTAGGATTCCACCCCCTATAGGTAGCCCCACTGAGAAAGGCAGAAAAACAGGATGGGTAGGGTTGCCAGATTAAAAAACCACATACACACCCAGTTAAGTGTGGATTTCAGATAAACAGTGAATAACATTTTAGTATAAGTATATCTCATGTAATATTGGGGAAATACTTACACTAAAATTTGTTCATTGTTTATTTGAAATTGGAATTTCACTGGGTGTACTGTATTTTATCTAGCAGCCCTAAAATATGGGAAAGAAATAATTGAGAGAGTGGGAAGAATATTGATTAATATTTCGTACCAAGATCCCAGGCCCAAAGGTTACAGAGTTTTGCTCTGAGCATGACCACCTGTGCAGATCCTCACATTAGTAATTAGTTTCCTGTTGCCAGACTGCACGTAGGCAGATAGCAAAAATCTAAGAGTGCTGCATCCTAGTTTTTTGCAAAGGGAACCATATTGGTACCACCTAATGTTGGTGAGTCTTTAGTGACTCTCACAGAGCCAAGGCAGTTCATCTTTCTTTAGAAGATCCAATTTTTAAAAAGTAATGGTTTGGAGAAATAATTTTTCATAAAAAATTATCCTTATCAGCAAAATGGGTTCTACGTTTGGAAGAACAGCTTTAGAAGTGCACTGGTTCTGTTGTTGGTGGAAACGAATGTGAACTGAGTTTCTTTGCATGTTAATGAAGTTAATAAATGAATTGACGTTTGAAACTTAAAGAGTACCGGGTGTTCCACAAGCTGGACTATTCTCTTGTGGAAACTCAAATAAGTTTTAAAGCACATTCTTCATATGATTTTTTTAAAGGCCATTTTTAACAAAAACATAATTTCTTTTAAAATTTTTATCCGAAATTGCAACAATAACAAAAATGTCAGTGAATTAAGGCTGGTCATAATGTGCCCTTTTTCTTTAGGATAAGTTTGATTTTGTATAAGACACAATACACTAATACACACATATCACACACAAGCACAAACTTCAGACTCATACAAATACACATTTAGAACTAATACCTACAAAAGAGTATCACAAATCAAATAAAAATTGCACAATTTTCAACAGACTTAATCAACACGTTTTACAAATTCTACAGAACATTTTATCATCATTGGGAAAACAAACAATTTAGAGCATTATTTAAAACTGTATGTAACACAGGCGCCACCAATAAGTTATGGCAAATACAGCATTTACACCATTATGTCACTGAAATCTAGTTGAAAAGACTAAAGTGCGGTAAAATAAAATACTTTTAAAAACCTTGTTTAGCATGTCCTGAGGGACAATAGGCATTATTTTCTATTAGCAATTCAAACTGAAAGCACTCTACCTGTGGAGCTCTCCCGTTTGGATGAGCAAGCAACCAAAGAAAGGTCAGAAGACTGTCATTGGATCACTAAAACTGCAGAACTGAAACACTCGTGGAAACGTACATTTCCTGAGACTTGACAACTCTTCTAGTCTGGAATCCTAATAAGGGAGATCCTGGACAGGTAACCCTGGCTAAAACACGTCAGAACCTCAGAGAACTTACAATGACGTTAAGTGAAGATGCGTGTTGGTTTGTCTGCGATTTAAATTTAAGTCCATCCTCCAGCTTGAAGTGTAATTGACAGTGTAGTTAGGCTTTTCCTGCTAGGCATTTCTTATTTATTGTGGTCTCAGTTTTCATTGGTTTTCTAGTGATTTTTCCTCTCTTAAATATTTAAATATTTGAGTTATGTTTGTGCCTACTTACGTAGGAGATATTGATTTTAAGAGTTAAAATGGCACTAAAATCAGGTTGAGTGATTAGTCTATAGTTTCAACTTGAATGATGTGTGTAAGATGTGCATGCTGTATGTACGTGTTTACATGTGTGTCCACACACAGGCTCATACTTACCAAACACTATGCTCTAATACATTCACTGTTAGGTGGCACTCCATGATAAGTGAGTTTTCCCAGTATGGCTGAAAGTGAATATTGAGGTCATCATATAGAATAACCTAAGGCTTTTAAAAGATGCCTCCTCATTCTCTGCATTCCTATGATTGTGTAGTAATAAGGGAGACTTAAAGGATAATGGCAGGCGTATTCACGATATTGGTCCTTCAAAATTACAGACAGGAAAGCAAAGTAAAAGATGATATTCTTTGCATGTTTTCCCTCATCTCACCCACTCACTCTTTTGATTTTCTGCTGTAGATTGGGTAAAAATTGGATCTTACTTTGTTTTTTTTGCCTTGCAGGACCTGTGATGGAAAAGTCCTAAAAAATAAACAAAACAAAAAGTGCACCAAGATGTATCTCCTACCATTTGGGGGTCTGTTTGTAGCCCTTGTGCTCTAACTCGGAAATACAATGCCCAGCTTAGACAAAGGAGCTTAGGCTGGGGGTAAGCACTGGTTGCATAACACTAGTCCCTCACCCTTATGTGAAGCCCACAGCCTGCTCCCTAAGTGTGTTTGAGGGCAGGGCCAGTGGACAGAAGACAGCCAAAGGCACCTTCTCTCCATTCCCCTTTCAAAGGAATCCCGCTTAGTGAACACTTCCTCTAGCTGGGGGACCCCTGGTTCACGTCTACCCTGTTCCTTCCTTCAGAAATTAAGGCAAGTCCATTTACTCTCAGTGCCTGCTTCACAGGTACTATTATGTCCACATGAAAACTATAACATTGGCTTGAAAGTATCTTTTGTCCAGCAAGGTCTCTATGTGCATATCATTAATAGCAATTACAAGCTTTCTCCAATTGAGAAACTGCACAATTTGTCTAATGCTTCAGCATGTTTGTTTTTTTTTTCCAGCACCTAAATGACAAATATGACAAAGCTAAGTCTAAGCAAACATCATAAGAAAGCATCTAAGTTTGAGAAAATACAACATAGTTACCTCTATATTTTATTCATTTGTCATAAATATGTGGAAAGATCTGTTCTCTTATATATTTATAAGTTAAATCCTTGTGTCATTGCAAGTGTGCTTGGCTAAAGATCCCCCTGAGGGATGAATGATGAATAGTCAGAGAAAACCTGCCCAGAAAGCAACTTTACAGGACATAAATTTCAATAATCTATAGTCCTTTAAAAAGGATTCATATTCAATTGCACATAAGGAGCAGGTGAAAGAGATAGAAAGACAATAAAACAGCAAGGCGAGGGTAAGCAGAGAGAAAACTATATTGGTAGATTATTAAGTCTCAAGCTAGAATATTTTTACAAAAATATTTGAATATGATCAGCTACTCTACTTTCAAAGATCTCAACTCTTTTTCATACATTGTTAAGGGTTTTAGTCTCAGAACTGCATTACTTAATATTATCAAAGTTTTCACCTGAAAAGAAGAATTGTCACTGTGTAGGTCCATGTCTGTGTGTGTTTGTGTGTATTTGTACGTGTCTGCCTATACGGGGTGGGTCTATATTGGTATATTTGGTCTGAGGAGACATATACACAATTGGAGTGCAGAACATATCTGTTGCGTGTATACGTGTGCGACCTGGTCTACCACACACACCTACACACTTTTCAGAAATGTTCTCTTCAGTGTAAACAATTTCCTTCCTTCCCCACAGTGGCTAATAAATACTATTTTTTGATAATGAATATTTATAATCTTGTAATCAACTCTTGATTATTTATAATTTTGTCCTACATAACCTTGGAATCAACTCTCTTACCTAGGACTAAGAGATTAAACCACATGTCAAACATTTAAATTCATTAAAAGCTGAGAGCATGCTTTTCTTTCTCTATGGCCCCACCTGCCATGGACTGTATTTTCCCGAGAAACTACTGAGGTGTGATTATTTCCAAACATGAAGATAAAATAATTTAAAATTGTAAGAATATCAGCAAATTTTAGAGATCTTTATAAACACCCCACATATTCCTGTAAGGCATTTAGATATGGGTTACTGTGCTCTTTTAAGATTATTTAGAGCTGTCAACTATCACAAAGACACCAAGGAGGAAGTAATGCTCAAAGCTGCATTACCATTTTTCTTCCTCATGGACCTGGACTATCAAATGGTGGACAGCGGAAACTTCCTGTAAAACTTTGGCTTCTGCCTCAGTCTTGTCCTTGGGGTAGGATGGAACCCAGAAGTGGTGAGGCAGTACCAAATTTTGACAAGTCTGCCCAGACCACATGTATTTAAGAATCTCTTAAAGATGTTTTGTGGATCCTTGAGAGTTCACGGACATAGCTTCAGAAACATTCCTCTCTTTCCCTTTTTCCTCAATTTCAAGTGAAAAAACTCAAATTGAAGCTTTTCAAAATATGTTCCTCAAAATCTTGGATTTAGAATTACATGTTTGGAAATCTCAGTTTGGTAGGAAAGTTTGCACAATCCTTCTCTTTTCTTCTTCTTTTTCTTTTTTAATCAGTAGGTTATTAGAAGAAATTTTGTTAAGAGTTCTTTTCAGAGTCTTCTGATTTTTAACACACGTGTCATAATTTTTCATTTACAGGGCATTTGAGGAACAATATTATTTAGAGATTTCTGAATTAAATGGCATCCCTCACCCCTCACCCCCATTTTTCACTATGGAGTTGGCACTAATAATTCTTCCACAAAAGTTTTTACTCTATATTTATAGCTGCCTCAAATAGAAATACTGTGAAACACTATTGTTTTTATATAACACAAAAATTACTGATCATGGCCTCCAATATTACTGATGCACAGAAACTGATTTGATGCATATTGTCTATGACCAAAAGTTAGCAAGACTGCAGACTACAGAATATTATACCAAGTCCCACAAGACAAGTAAATTTCAGTACAACAATGTAATACACGTTATGTTGGGCATTCAATTATTTTAAGTCCCGTACAGCTTCTGATTAAAAAGAGCGAGCGAGAGAGGGAGCAGAAAGTTTCGTTTAGAGGATACAGACAGTGTAGGAGCCCTAGGTTGAAATCAGAAATGCAATCAAGTAAACACTCATGAGTTGTACGTTACAAAGACTAATTCTGCAAAATGAAATGTGCTAGTCTTTTTTTTTAATCCCTAACGCTAGAAGTAGGTTTTGCTCATCAAATGGGAAATGAAATATTTATAGTAGTGAAGAGTATGGTAATAATCACTGAAGAAATGGTTTCCCCCTTTTCCCACCCACTATCAGCCCTTATCCCCTCAGAGACTCAGTGGAATAGGAAGTTCAGAGTGTTTACAGATAATACGCCTAATACAGTGAGTCTTCTCTATCTTATTCACGGACACGCCACATGGTGCTATCAAGTGTTGGCTTCTCCTTCTTCAAAGACATAGTTGAGTTTTATGACGGTGCTGATGAAATCACCAAGTTCTACAAAGTCAGCGGTCACAATGTTGATGCCACTCTCTCCTGGCTTCTGTGTGCGGACCCACTGCATCATGGCAGGAAGAGCTCTGAGATAGGAAAGAAAAAAAAAAAGTCACAGGAGGAAAGATATTATTCTTTAAGCTCGCAATTCCCAGGATTTCCTTTAGTTTTCTAACTTATTAAAGTAAATGCTATAATTACAGACACAGAATGGAGAAAAGTGCCAAATAGACAATGGTAAGTTCTTAACTTCTAAAGAAACTCTGCAGGAGAAATATAGTCGTCCCTGGAATCTACGAGGGACTGGCATCAAAATCTGTGAATACTCAAGTTTCTTATATAAAATGGAGTAGCAAAGGCAGCCCTTCTTGTCAGTGGTTTCCACATCTATGAATTCAACCATCCCAGGATGTGGAACCTGAGGATGTAGAGGCCAACTGTAGTCACTATACTGGTCCACATTGGACGCCATCTTTGGAGATCTCAGATGCTGTGAGAATTTATAGTGAAACTGTTCCACTAAAAAAACAACATTCTTGTACTTGTATTCTAGTTTGGCATGGTGTGATTGCAAACCCTGCAAAGCTATGGGGTAATGAGGTCAGAGATGAATACTTGCACTTAGCAAACATTTATTATGAACCCACTGGTTTCAGGAAATGTGCTAGATATTGTAAATAGACATAATAGCAAAACTCCCTGCATTTAAAGAGTTCATGGTTTGGTGGTTCATGGGCAGATGGACAAGGAAGGAAATTTGAATACAGTACAATCAGGGCTTATCCTTTAAACATATTTACTGATCACCTCTTCTATGCCAGACACTATTGAAGGCACTGGAAAACTTGAGTGAACAAAGTATATAAAAATATCCACCTGTGTGGCGCTTACAGTCTAATAAGAAAAGATAAACAATGAATAATAATCATGAATTAATTATATTATTTGATAGGAGGGATTAAGTGCTATTAAAATGCAACAACAATGAAAAAGGATTAGGAGTGTGCAGACAGAGGAGTTGGAGAGATTGCAACTTAAAATAGGGTGCTTAAGCAGGCCTGTTGATAAGGGGGCATTTGTGCAAGGGTTTGAAGGAGACAAGGGAGTTAGTCACGTGGATATCTATGGAAAGCACTTCAGCTACTGCCATGGCCCTACAAGGGTAGCATACTTAAGCTTGGAAAAAAGAAAAGAGGAGTATTAAAAGATGAAGTTAGAGGAATAATGAGGCAAGGGGAGTAGATCCTGTAGGGCACTGTAGGCTATTATAAAGATCTTGAATCACAAATCTAGACCTGTTATTTCTCTGGTTAACAGTTTCACTCTGAGTGAAATGAGGAGTCTTTGGAAGATCTTGAGCAGAAGAGTGATATGATCTGGCTTTCATTATAAAAGACGATTTATTACTATGAAAGCATAGTGGATTCAGAAGAGCACTCCCTGAATGTTAAGGGATTAGGAAGACTTAGCTGGGTAAAGGTGGGGATGGGAGATGGAGGAGGATGCAGTGCATTTTCAGACAGAGGAAAAAGCATTTTTTCATTCATTGACAGAAGTATGGTGTCTGCTTAGGAGTAGGGCACACAGACAGATCCAGGAGATATTAGTAAAAATGCAATGTCCTATGACAGCATGCTGAAGAGAAACCACTATGACTTAAGAGGGCAGGAAGGAGACTCACATGAGAAAGGGATAAACGAACTGAGGTCTGAGAGATGATAATGCAATAGTAAAGAAAGTGTAAGGAAATACATGTGGGCATTAAACTCCTGGATTAGATGGAAAGGGAAGGAGAAAGAGAAAGGAGGGGAGGAGAGAGAATGATGCAGTTAAGAATTTCAAAGAAGTTATATCATCTAATTTAAGGAAGTTTTAAAAAATGTTAGAGAGATAGGAAGGAACCAGATGACAGAGGGCTTTCAGAAATGTAGACCAACTGAAAGCTGTTAACCAGGGAAATAACATATTTAGATTTGTGATTTGGAGAGAGTGGTTTGCCTTCAGTGTGAACAAATGAATGGGAGAAAGCAAGACTAGGATCAAGAATAACAATGATGTAGTTGTGAAAGGAATCCAGCCCAGAGTGGTAGCTTACACTGCAGTGGCAGCAATAAGTGCATACGGAAGGAACTGAGGAGATAAATGACAACATTTGGTTGGTGTGAGATTGGATGTAGATGGAGAGGGAGAAAGAGGCTGTGAGTGATGCCAAGATTTCTAGCTACTCCTGGCAGGCAGTCACCATCATACTACTCTTGGAAAGATGGAAGTAAAGGCTGTCCAGTGGATGTGCTAAGTTCAGTCTGAGACATGTTGATTTTGAGGTGACTTTGGGACCCATGACTTGAGATCTCAATTGATAGTTAGGTACAGATCTGATATTCAGGACACAGAGCTGGATGAGAGCTGTTACCCAGAGACAATGGTTAGAGATATGAGAGTGGATAATATCACCAGGGAAGATTGTGTAGAGGGGGATGAGAAGAGAAAATCTGAAGATCATATAGGGGATGGGCAGAATAGTTGATTCAAGAAGAGAAAAAGAGAATTAGGCATAGAAGCAGGAGGAAAATCAGGAGCATAGTGTCATGAAAATCAAGGGAAAAGCCATGTTCCTTTTGGTTTGTGAGGTTGCATGCTATGTAATACGTTCTCTCCAGAAAGCTTATCTTGTCAAACTCCACCCATCTGGGTCAATGACTACATTAATCCTGTGGGTGATATCTTAAAAATTCTGACCTATGTCTTTCAGCATATACATTTGTTTGTTAGCTACAGATAGAAGAGGACCCAAATGCTTCTAAAAGAGCGTAGCACGGATCTAAAGGGCTCAACACATTTAGAAAATAGACTGGCAGGTGGAGAAATCTGGTCTTTACAGTAACGGTTTCAGAAGAGAATTCTATCTTAAAATGAAAAATCTGTATCCCCAGAGAACAGATAGAAGTGTATTCAAGTTCATCAGAAAGACAGATGCTGTGGCAATGTATGTGCAGCCACTCGGGTTTGAATTTCATTACTTTCTTTTCTGGACCTGGTAAAGCAGATGCAGTATCTTTGTTGTGAATGCAATATCACATTGGCATTTTAGAAAAGGCAGATGTTCTTTGGGAAAAGCATCAGAACCAGTGTATTTCCTGGAAAGAATGGTTGTTTAGCAGGTATACTCACCTTAAAAGGCGTGGTTCTCCAGTGATGCTGGGGCCAGCTGGGGCCAGTGCTGGTTCTGTATTAACTTAAACTGAGTAGCTGATCTACCAGATCCATAAGGTACTAGGTTATGGGAGGAGCCTGAGCAACTGAATTCCCATCTTAGAACCATGACCATCACAAAAAACAGCAACTCAGATGCCCTCTGCTACTCTAAGATTAAAATTCCAGGATCTGAATTTAGAACTATTAATGGTTATCCCCATGGAGAGATGTTAGGAAAGTGTAAGAGTGCTCTTCTCTGTTTCTCTAAATATTTATTGCTTTGAAGATTGATGAAATATCATTTTGGAATAGTGTGTAGTCCTCAGGTGAAATATGAGTTTTATATTTAAAATGCTGTTTCTCTGCATCATGGGAGTATTTCTATTTTTCTGTTCAGATATACTTTTCTAAAGTCAATATGATACCAAAGACAAAATAAGCAATAATGCCAAGTTGAATCTCAAATACTCAGACTTAAGTAGAATTATGTTAACAAAAAAGACAATATATTGGATTAAAACTAGCAGATGCTGCTGAAGTAACAAAAATTATTTAGCATAGCAGTCAAACTTTTTTTCATTATTTCCCCACTATGGAGTCTTTACAGATACTTTTTTCCTACTTACCCTCCTTCTCCATACAATTTTGATGCCACAGATAGACTGTGAATCTGTTTATATACTGTTTGTATATACCTATCCTTTTTATGTAAAAAGAGTAAATTTTTTATTTGTCCTCCCAAGAATCAATTTTTATACCAGATAAATTGTAATAAATTTTATATCAGATAATTGAGAAATTGAAAAGCCTACTCTGGCGGTTATTACTGATACTGTCTCAGTATAACAGTTTTCATGGTACAAGACAAAGTAGTTAAACTTTAATTTTTAAAAATCACCCATTCATTCATTCTGCAGAGATATACTGCATCTGTGGAGGACAGTGTTTTAGGCGTAGCTCCCTAGAACCATTCAGGAGTCCAGACCTTCCTCAACCGTCTTAGAGAAATGTTGCTACAGCCCTGCCCCCACACTCTTACTTGGTGCCTTTTCTATACTGCAGTCAGAACAATCTTTCTCTCAGCTGAGTGCATTCTTCTTCTATGTGAAAAACCACAAAGTCTTCTCTTACTCACAAGACACACCCCACTCTTGAACAGTATGGGTGAGTCCCTCCCTCACACCCTCTTCAGTCTCATTTGTTACTACCTCCTACATGCTAACTTGTTCTCTGGTAATACTGAAATGCCTGTGTTTTCTCCCAGGCTTCATGCCTGTTTTTTTTTCCCCCAGGACTTTTCCCTATGTGAAATACCATTCCTTCTTCCAGTACCCTTCTTGGTCTCACTCATTTCTCCTTGCCCTTCAAGACTTGGCCCAGGCATTATCTCAATCCCTGCAGTCCGCATCTGGGTGAAGAGCTCTTTTCTTGATGCCTTAAACACCTTTAAAGCATTCCTTTTATAGCATAGCTCTATGACTACGCACTGCACATGGCATTCAGATTATCCACTTCCATGCCTCTTTCTATCAGTGCCTGTACACTTTTCAAAAAAAAATCATATCATAGTCATCTTTATATCCCCTGTACCTACCACAATCCCTGGAAACCAGAAGGAAAACAGCGCATTTATCAAACTCAAATGTTGAACTAGAAATCCTGGTCTCAACTGTCTCAAAGTCTAACAAGCAAAATGGGTATGAACCAGTCATGACAATACAAGATGGTGCAACAGTCGTGAGCATAGGATTCTATGGGGTCATGTAGGTAAAATACTTCCACTTGTGAGAAATGAAGGAGAAATTTAACAAAGACATCAAAAAATAGGTAACATTTGAGCTTGGCCATGACTGTTTAGATAAAGAAGGAAAGCATTTCAAGAAAAGGGGAC